ATCTATTTCGTAGACCTTTTTCGCAGTTAATGTCACCACCCTTAACCTCACATACGAACCCACTAGTATATAACTTGTAACGGCTTTCTCGGGCTATTCTTTGTCAAATCGCCTTTTATGTTTACCTCTGTGTGTACTGTATGCCTGGAGTTCCTAAACTATTTACTTTACAAGCCGTAGCTACAATGTTTATGTACATACTGAACTAAAGTGAACTTGTGCGACATTACTGTATCTGTTCTATGATTACCCGTAGCAGAAGTCGTGTTCATGATACCAGTGTAATTTGTGGAAACTTTAATATATTAAGATCATTTTAGCAGTAAGATGTCTGAATACCTGGGTAAGAAACATGTAATAGTTAAATATGTCAACTAGAGAAAACTTAGAAGACGATAACTTTATTCTTTGATGACAAAAGCTGCGTAATTCTCTGGTGTTGGCATAGGCTGTGGCGAGGTATACAAAAAATATAGTAATACACGTATTAGCCTGAGCTTGTTGACACTTGGTGATACACGAGTTTTGTCAAACCATAACTCTCTAAATAAATCTTTACTATTAATTCACCTTATTTACACACCCGATGTTTTTGCTCTTGTCAACTATAACAAACATTTCCATTAATTTTTTCGCGGCATTTTCCAAGTTTATTGCCAATTCAAATACTTTTAACGTGTATTTTTCTGTCACAGATATATGGAGATAATCGTAATACCTATAAGAACATTATTATTTATTTTTACTTCTTGTTCACATTTCAACATAAATACAGAACACCACGACCACTTCATTCACAACCGGAGTAACATTAAATAAAACCTATGTCTAACAATCAGTGGAAGGCGCAGCTGGGGAAAAAAGCGAACACTACTGCCACCTCAAGCACTGTTGGAAGGGAGGCACTGGCACGCCCGTGGAGCACAATGTGACGACACTACTCCTTCAACTGTTAGAGAGCGACTGGGGGGAACAGGGAAGGGATGATGACGTGGACCGTCGGGCTCACCACCACTATAGCAACCTCGTCTTACCCCAACCCTGGCGGTGAACCTCACAACCTGTCCCTCCCAACCTTCATACCTCCGCCTGTGTGTGTGTGTGTGTGGGGGGGTAACCAAATTATCTTTAATTCACCTCACTGATTCAAATTCATGGCAACACTGTCAGGTTTTGGTGGTGTTGCCATAGGAGGGAGGGTGGCGGGTGAGCTCCGTCACCAGGCTTCCCAAGGCAATATAAAATCCTAGAACCTCCCCCACCTCCATCAATCAATAAAATAACCCGCGGTGCATCATCTGAATCACCATAGAGATCCTCTACTAGCTAAGTTTGGTCTGGTAAGGACAGAGGAGCCACGGGGGAGTGTGGACGCCGGGACCGTGATGAGAACTACTGTATATCTAGATTCGTCAGTCTTTATAAACACAAGAAATTACGTGACCAAGCATACACGAACAATTAAACAGTATGGATAATAACAAACACTGACACATACGATAATACAGCTATGACCAAATCCTGCTAACGCTTACAAAATAATGACGTCACAGCGGCAGGGATAGGTCTCCACACTGCTATACATGTGAACGAGAATTCTCAATATTTTAAGCATTATTTTCTCCCTACCTGGCGTATGAGGTTATCTGAGGGACTTAACCCAACATACAAAACGGTTAGGTTAGGCTAGGTTAGGTTAGGTTAGGTTAGGTTAGGTTAGGTTAGGTTAGGCTAGGTTCTTTCATCCCCAGGTAGGAGGGAAGTAAGATTTATTGGAGAAGTCTTGCTTTAATTACACGGCCGAATATGGCCAGGTAAAAATCAACAAAACAACAAGTAGAACAACATTGACAGGTAAAGACAAACAACATCAGCAGCAACAACATGGACAGGTAAAGAACAGGGAGATGAAACATACTTAACTTAACCAGTTATTCTGACCGCTTTACCTGTGTGTGAGTTGGAATAAGCAGAGGGTAACCGCATTTAACATTTAACATTAACCTAACCTACTGTAGAGAGAGAGAGAGAGAGAGAGAGAGATCATTCTACATCAACATCACAACCACCATCATTCTACAACATCCTCACAACCACCATCATTCTACTGCAATCGTCCATTCACATCAACTCAGCATGAAACTTAATACAAAGAATTGAACACGTTAAAGAGAAAGTTCCTCAACTGTGTTTAATGTTTAATTTAAGAGAGAGAGAGAGAGAGAGAGAGAGAGAGAGAGATGAGCACCACTGGTTTATAACCCGTAATTACCCAGCCAGCAGACACCCTGCTACACAGCCCACGACTTGACACAATTAATGTTAGTTTCTCTTAGCGTTGTGGACCCCCCAACACACATACACAGTCAAATATAATAATTCTGTTATTATATTTCATCAATCCTCAATTTCTGCCCATAATTCCTATCAATAATTCTTCAGTCAATAATTCCTCAATTATTTATCTCAAGGTAACATAATATAACTCTATACATTATTATTTCCCTAAAGTCTCCAGGTACCAGCGTGGTCTTTAATGGTGTATACTAGGGCGCCAAGTATACTGAAGATGTCCAGTGCTGTGTGTGTGTGTGTGTGTGTGTGCCGCTTATCACGGCTGAGTTCACCTGAGAAATACTCACGCCCATCCTCCCTTCCTCACTCCTCCACGCCCACCCTCCCCCAGCGCCCTCCCTCCTTCCATCGATATTGTACACTCCCTGCCACTCCTGCCAGCTGATTTTACGGTTGAGCACAGATGGCTACCTGTATAAATCAACCAAGACCACCACCACCTGCCACCATATCAATCTCACAGCCACCATCTTAACTACTACTATAATACACGGAACAAAAGACCACACACACACACAAGAGACAAAATCTAGGGTCAGCAGGTCAACATCTAACACTTATAACCGATATAATAACTAACATTCACTTACTTTGCTACAACGTGGTTTGGTAAAGACTGGTGTTACGTCATCATTCTGACAAGTAACATTAACAGCGAACTTATGATAAGAAGAAACACCTACTGTAACATTACCCGAAATTTAACCAGGGTTTACTGATATCAAAAGATTATTAAGTCTGGAAAATACAGTAATACAAAATAAAAAAATCTTAGGCGGGTTTTTTCTCTATTAAGTAAACCCGTAATATTACCCAATAATATTAACTCGGGTTTAGGTTCAAAAGACAGGTTGTATAGTTTTTTTTTGGGGGTTATCAACAAATCACTGGTCTCCGCTGTAAATGTTACCTACTTGACAACACGTAAAAACTCCACTGAACCAAAAAGTCAACAATACCTCTCTCTCTTTTTTTGTCCTCGTAAACAGACAAATGTAGAAAAAACACAATTTATATATGACTTGAGTTCACTAGGTACCCGGTAACACTACACTCAGGTGACCAACCAACAATTATACTATGGTTAGCTCAGGACGACTTAACCTAACCTCTATAGGATACAGTGTTGCTCGCACCTGCTGTGTTGTGACCACCAGTACACTGTGGTGCAGTGTGTTGTGACCGCCAGTACACTGTGACTCATGGTGTATTGTGACCACCAGTACACTGTGACGCAGTGTGTTGTGATCACCAGTACACTGTGACGCAGTGTGTTGTGATCACCAGTATACTGTGACGTAGGTGCAATGTGCTGTGACTACCAGTACACTGTGACGCAGTGTGTTGTAACCACCAGTACACTGTAACGCATGGTGTATTGTGAGGTTAGTGTTCCCTCACAAACTAGAACGAGTCACTGACATTTACAGCGAGAAAGTAGATACAAGTGACGCCCAGAAGAGGAGGCGTGGGGAGGGGGGGGGGTGCGAGAAGGGGAGGAGGTGTGGGGGGCAGTAAGACAGGAAGAGAAGTGAAGGAGGCATGATAGGTGAGGTGCCTCAAGAGGAGAAGTAGTAGTAGTACATATGGCGTCCTGCGATTCAGCATAGTATACAGTAGTGAGACACACACACACACACACACACACACACACACACACACACACCTTCTCCTCTCAAGAACCAGTTGTAATAATGACAGAAAACTTCAACATCATCAAGTTAATAGTAAAATCATCTTGGTTCCAAAGGGCGAACGTCCTCGATAAACTGGACTGACCACATATCGAGTGTCTCAACACCACCACTTTATGTCAAAGAATTATGTCTACAAATATTAAACCCACTGACACATGTATGGTTACCAGTGTGGGGAATATACCGTTATGTTGGTGTAGCTGATGAACTGACAACATAGAAATAATTAACGTTTTTTACCTATACTTTCTTAAGACAACTTTACCTGGAAACAATACGTCTTGTTAGTCACCTGTTGCCATAGGCGGTGGGTGACATAACTGTCATAACCTGAGGTACCTTTGCATGTTCGTATGTTTATATACGTATGTAGATATAGTTTACACAACACTGATCCAATTCGTACCACCACCCGTTTCAGTTATGCCATTGATTTAATATATAACATTAAGCTACCCATAAAATCTTCACTTATTTCAGTAATACGCCACGACAAATAGAACCATTTATATTATATCTGAACCTGAGTGATGTGATGTGGTGTGTGTGTGCGTGTGCGTGTGTGTGTGTGTGTGATAACGGGAGGTGGTCATCAGCACAGTGTTTCACGGCCAGGCCCAGGATCACTCCCATCACCACCGTTGAACTTCCCACCAAAATATCTCGCCCAAGAGACGTGTTTTTCAGTCAATCTCTGTCACTTTAGACGTGTACAGTGGTAGTCATAGACCTTAACAAAGTTTAATTCTTCGTTACAATACGAGGATGAGAGATGAAGCACACAATTCACTGTATTAGTCAAAGCCTCGCAGTATGACGCCCGCAATCTTAACAAGTAGTTCTGAAGCACACTTAACACATTGTTCTTTATGAGCTGCTTTCGAAAAAACTGACCACAATCGTCTAAGTAAACGAAGAAAATATATAATAGCGGAGGAGGTACTGTACCATGGAATAGTATTCCCTCATGGTGTGAAGTGTAGGAGGTTGGCACTTGTGAGTGAAGACGGTGAGAGAGGCGGGTGGTTGCCGGGGTAAGTATCGAAACACAAGGTTCACCAAATACCAAGGGCTTGTTGCTGTCGCTCTCGCTCCTGCAAGAGAACTGACAACTAAGTCGGTTGCACGCCACTCCTAGACTCACACTAGAGATGCCAGCCTTTCGAAGATAACCCAAATCCCGAGACGACGACTGGCGAAAGCCAATCGGAATGGGATGTTCCAAATTCCCGTGTTATAAGTGGTAAACGGACCAGCGTGAAGGGTTGCCATTGGCTGACAGTGAGAACAGCAGACCGTCAGATGTGTGAGCGCGTGAAAGTAGGTAACTGTGTGAGACGGCAGATGGCGCTCCGGATATGACTGCCATGGAGTGTGGGGGCAGCCGGACACTGAGTGGGTGTGTGGCTACTGCCGACCCTCCCTGTTCTCAACTCCGGACCAACACCCATAACCATCTCCACTTCCACTACTAACCACTTAACTCAATAATGTGTAGCTGAGAGAACACAAGACCCGTCCTCACCACTTCCCCGTCCTCACTCCAGCCAACCCCGTCTGCACACCTTCAGGCACCACTAACCCACCTTTCACACTATATTCGCACCTTTATTTATTTCACGTTACGAACGCAGTAAAAATTACACTATGAATCATAGGCGGTGCCCCCAATTACGTCACCATAGAAACGTCAAGAAATAATTAAGATGATGTGACGCTCGGGAAAGCTGAAGGTGTGAGCACAACACCTGAGGGGCCAGCTGACGCTCACCTGGCTGAGGAAGGAAACACGGGCACACAGACCCCAAAACAGCTGACTGGCGACGCAAGGGAAACTAACAAAGATACAGACACACCCGATACCTGAACACGGCCGTCCTTCCCCACAGAAACCTCCAACTAGCGATCATCAACACATTCTTCCTGTGAACTAGTGATGGAAGGTCGTGACTTCATCTTTCATACTATGTCGAAGAAGTGGTCGAGGCTTTCCTTGTTGTCCAAGGTGTCAGCCTATACAGTTCTACCAACAGATTTTTCAAATCTAAAAGCACTGTAAACAGATAAATATATACCAACTTAGTGATCAAAGTGATAATTATTGCAAAACAAAAATTGGAAAAAAGAAAGATGATGTGAGAGAAGCAGTGGGTAGAAGGGTGAGAGGTGTTGAACATAAGGTATTGTAAGGCGAGGCAGCTCTACCATACTATTGTTACCTACCATAACACCAGCCGCCTGTCCTAACCCAGGCCACACGTAAATTGCTCCACGGTCAACTCATGCCGCGGCGACGCACGTAGAGGATCCACGGTTGACAAACATTACAAATACGTATGGTCATTTAAAGTACGGGGAGGAAACCAGGACGAAACTGTAGCCATAATAACACAGGATGCGGCACAAGACGGCCAGAGGACAGTGTGGCGAACATCCGGCGGACGTGTGATGGCTCAGGGCGAGTGAGTGTCAACCCCGGCTGTTTACACTGCAACAGGACCAATACTTAAATAAAGTACACGAACACCTGTCTTTGATGTTGTTCACTGTTGTAGGCATATTGGCTGTACATTGTTATGAGTGACATACTGTTGTAGGTATACTGTTGCACACTGTTGCTGTAAGTGGAATACTGTTGTAGATATACTGGCTGTACAGTTATGATTAGTGTGGTGTTGTATACTATTATAATACAACATAAATCACAACAACTCACAACACTGCAAAAAATAGCATGCAACACTACACACAACACCTAACATAACACTTTACAACACCTTACATAACACAAGACAACACCTTACATAACACTTTACAACACCTTACATAACGCAACACAACACCTTACATAACACAAGACAACACCTTACATAACACAAGACAACACCTTACATAACACATTACAACACATTACAACACCTTACATAACACAAGACAACACCTTACATAACACATTACAAAACCTTACATAACACATTACAACACCTTACATAACACATTACAACACCTTACAAAACGCAACACAACATCTTACATAACACATTACAACACCTTACATAACACATTACAACACCTTACATAACACAAGACAACACCTTACATAACGCAACACAACATCTTACATAACACATTACAACACCTTACATAACACTTTACAACACCTTACATAACACAAGACAACACCTTACATAACGCAACACAACATCTTACATAACACACCATCTCACACAATATAACACATCACAACACCACACATAACACAACACGACCTATCACTTACACTGTGGTCAGATCACTCGTAACATCTTTTACTCCAGCACTTACAATATAACACCACTGAGAAACGCGCCGCCTTTCCCATATGAATTACCCATGAGACTTTCCCTCACATATATGTCACTTCACGACAAGCAACTCGGTATAACATTTTTTCCCCTCGTAAAATTCTTCCCAGCTTTGAATCCTTGTTATGTAACCTAGTGTGGTAAGAGTGGTTAGGTGCGGGCTAAGATAACGATGGTGGTAGTAGTAGTAACAATAACAAACAAAACTATAATAATAATAACAATAACAACAATGGGTGTTGCTAACAAGTCTTCATAAGGGAAGTAACCCACACCTTCAACACTAAGAAAGTGACACTAACAACTTACTTGTACTTCAGAATTGTGACACGAACTTAAAGGTCACACACACTTAAGCTGGCGTCTGGTTAGATAAGTTGAGGCATCAAAATAAATCAAGTGTAACTCCAGGTGAGCATCAAATGACTCCCCAAAAGGTCGAATCAGGTCTATTTACCATGCAGGTCAGGTGCTGATGACAGGAAGCTTAGCGTCTTTCTTGAACACCTACAGCGTCCACACACTGCACACCCACACACTGTACAACCACACTCTGTATATCCACACACTGTACACCTACTACACCCACACATAGTACACTTATTATCCTGAAAACGGGAGGCAACACACAGGCGACAGTAAGGTCATCTGGTTAAGTGAGCCGCCTGCAGATAAAGGTAAACAGGCTGCCCGCACACTCACCTGGTGGGCGCAGGTAAAGGATTAGATTCTCGACATGAATTGGGAAGCTATCACACGAATCTTGTCAAGGAAGGAAGAAAGGATAAAGAGAAAGATGATACACACCACAACACCAAGAGAGTAATTGAAGAATGTAAGTGACACTCTGAGTAGCGGAAGTATATATATATATATATATATATATATATATATATATATATATATATATATATATATATATATATATATATATATATATATATATATATATATATATATATATATATATATATATATATATATATATATATATGATAAAATCAAATCAATTAATAATTCGGAGTAAAAAAGATTATTTATGAATAAACAGACCTTGAAGACACCTAAATTAGGACTTTTACCCTTCATAAATAAAGATACCCTCAAATGAGAACAATTTTAATTCTACCTCCCAAACACTGTATTTGTTTACAAGCAAATATTTGGGTATGGGTCTTTCTGCTCCTCTAGCCTGTATTTATATGGAGTTTTTTGAGTCTAGATTACTACCCAATATAGTGGACTTTTATTCCTCCATGGTATAGATATGTAGATGATGTTCTTTGTCTTTGGCCTAGAAACAGTGACCCATTGGAATTTTTAGACAAGCTTAATGATATTGTCCCAAGTATCACATTCAAAATTGAAAGAGAAATAAATGGATCCCTTCCATTCCTTGATATGCTTATCATGAGAAATGGCCAAAACTACAAATTTAAGGTATACAGAAAGCCCACACAGGTAGACAGTTTCATTCACTTTTTATCGAATCACCTGGAGTCTACCAAAATGTCAGTTTTTTCTGCTATGTTCTTAAGATGTCTGCGTATTTGTGACTGAATTTATTGACGATGAATTGAAACACATTCGTTCCATTGCACAGAAACTTGTTTATTGATCGTTGTTTTAAAAGGGCTAAAAAATCCTTTCATTCCTCTCAAACCAGGCAAATTCCTACACTTAGAATATTTTGACTCTGCCCTATCGTAATGAATTTGTCCCGTTAGTTCGGTCCCTCAAGCTTCTAAATATTAATGTTGTTTCAAGTATGACTCAACCATTACCAATATGTTAATAAGAATTAGCCCAAGTTTGAATGTAAATGGAAGTGTTTATTGTATTCCATGTAGCAAATGTAATTGTAATTATGTAGGACAGACAGGAAAAACACTGCAGCTCAGAATCAAACAACATAAGTATAATATCAGAACAGCATCTGAAAGCAGTGCCTTGTTCGTTCATGTTAGGAATAATAATCATCCCATTGCTTGGGAAAAAAGCTTAGAAGTATTTAAATCATCTTGTGTCACAGAAAGACTTCTGGTTGAAGCTAGTTTGATTAAGGAATTAAAATCAATAAACCTTAGTGATGGTCAGTTCAAAACTGATTATATGTTACATAAATTTATTTGTCAGTGGCCCAAGGTTAAAAATGCTTTGAAAACCTTTGATCTAGATGTATGATAGTTATTTAGTGGGTCCCTTATATTTGACCTGACCTGACTAGTCACGTCACCCCCCTTCTCTTAAGCTCCTCTACTATAATAATAATAATAATAATAATAATAATAATTAACGGTATATTGAAAGAGCTTGGCAGCCAGAAGGCTGAAAATATACAGTTACATATTTGGGGAATGGGTTTCGAATTACAAATGATATACAAGTAACATAAGTGACACAAATAAGACATATAATAACTAGATGGGGAAAAGCTCAAACTACAGTTCATTTCAACATCGTGACAGTGCAAGGAGAAGTGTTTACTGGGAGTGAACACACTGGCTTATTACAAGTTATTGATAATTTTTACAGTGGTTGGGACTGGGCTGTTCTTATGGCGATCAGTTCGTGCACGTATGGGCTGGATGAGGTTGTGGTGTCGAACAGCAATTCTCGGACTAGGGATCTCAGGTGGTAGTAGGAGCCGGTGTCGAGGATGGTGTAGAAGCTTCTTACCAAATTTTCAGACGAGGTCGTGGTGATGGTCAGTGAGAGTCGAAAGGGTCAGTGTGTTGAGCGCTTCTTGATATGTGGAGTAGGAAGGGGAGAGAA